AGGATGAATAGCTTGGCTAAAACTACGCAATTAGCTTTTGTAACTTGGCTTTGCTTGCTATGGGAACCTGAACACGGATGTAGTTGTCCCCTTTAAATATTGGACTCTGCAGATGGTCGGGGCCGCTTCTGTCTTGGGCTTCCTGAGTGGAGGAGTGGACACTGGCCAGTCAATAAGGCTCTCTAGATTTTAATCAGCCTGGAGCTCTGGTCATTCTGTCGCTCACACTCCACAACATTTGGAGGCCCCAGCGAGATAATCGGCCATTGACCGGTCCCATGCCAGAGTCCAGGGAAGACATCCAAACTCCCGGACCAAACCTAGGGGGAGATCTCTGAGAGACATTCCTCAGCCCCGGACCGATAGAGTTTGGCAGGTCTGTCCAAAAATTGTCTAATTGACTTCAGTTGGAGCCATCTGGATCTGATTCTTACCGGTAAGAAGACTCAATTCTTTTGAGTCCTGATTCTGGTTCTGTGGGCCCGTCAGAGGTCTCCGGAAGGCTGGACGCAGCACTACTTGCATTGAGACCAGATCCCGGTGCACGATGGTGCCCAGTGATCCTGAGTCTGCTTGTCATTTGTCTTGTCTGTGTCTGTTGTTGTGTCCAATTTGTTTTTTGTTGTCAGAATTGGTCAATCAGCTTCATGTACTGTCTGTATCCCCCTTCAATGTTTTTTGAAAATTTTTCAGGACTTCAAGCGAAGAGCCGAGGGCTACGGAGCCCCTGTTAACGCTTTTGATGTACAGAAATTCTCTGAGCGTGAATGGCCAACGTTCCCGCAGATCGAGTGGCCTCCTGAGGGGTTGACAGATTTGGGTTTAACCTATCAGGTCCAGGCTGTAATTTTTGGAAACCCCTGGCACCCGTACCAAATGGTGTATATTCAAATTTGGATAGATGTCTTAACTGAAAATCCTAAATGGCTCCAGGATTGCCAAAAACCCTCAGAAAAGAAAAAGAAATTGGGACAGAGATAGACTGTCCTCCTCACTTCACCTCCCAGGGAGGCTGAGAGGAAGACCCTTGTCCTCCCACCTCCGCCGGAGGACCCCATCCTGGCAGAGCCACCCCCGTATCTGTCAGCCTTGATGGTGGCTCCCCCTGAAGATCCTCTGAGTCCATCTCATACCCGCAGTGGGGCAAAGTACCAACCCCCACATTCAGCCCCCTCTCCGGACTCCTCTGGAGCCCCGATGTTGCCTTTGCGCCAGGTGGCCGCCCCCAACGGGAAGGAACAGCCTTTTATGGTTTACGTCCCTTTTTCGACCAGTGACCTCTACAACTGGAAGAATCAGAATCCCTCTTTCTCTCAGAATCTACAGGGATTAATCTCCCTCTTGGAGTCTGTCTTTTTCACCCACCAGCTCCTCCAGACTCTTTTCACCTCAGAGGAGAGAGAGCGAGTCAGGTTGGAGGGAAGGAAATTGGTTCTTGGCCCCCACGGCCAACCGTCTTCAGAGTCAGCACGGCTCAAGGCTATCTTCCCACTCTCCCGCCCCTCCTGGGACCCCAACATGGAGCGAGGTAAGGAGGCTCTCAATTGGTATCGCCAGACTCTGCTGAGGGGAATCCGAGCTGCTGCGCAGAAACCCACCAATTTGTCTAAGGTAACTGAAACTGTACAGGGACCGAATGAATCTCCCGCCACTTTTCTAGAGCGCCTGTGTGAAGCCTACAGGCTCTACACACCCATAGATCCTGATACGCCTGAGAATCGGCAGGCAGTTAACATCGCTTTCATGTCCCAGTCGGCCCCAGACATTAGAAAGAAAATATTAAAGTTAGAAGGCTTTGAGGGAAAAGTGCTGTCAGAATTGGTTGAGGTTGTTCAAAAGGCCTGAAGAAGCATCGCAGTCCACATAAGAAGACTGAAAAAAAGCAGGAATCTTAGTCCCTTGCCACTCCCCGTGGAATACCCCATTGCTTCCTGTACAGAAACCAGGAACGGAGGACTTTAGACCCGTTCAGGACTTAAGAGAGGTCAATAAGAGGGTAGAAACTATACATCCCAAAGTGCCTAATCCATATACCCTCCTGAGCCTGTTATCTCCCCATCATCAGGAATACAGAGTTCTAGACCTAAAGGATGCCTTCTTCTCCCTGCCTCTGGCCTCATCCAGCCAGCCCATTTTTGCTTTTGAATGGACAGACCCAGATGAAGGGAAATCAGGACAATTGACCTGGACACGGTTACCCCAGGGGTTCAAAAATTCCCCCACTCTGTTCAACGAAGCCCTCAACCAGGACTTGGGCCTGTTCAGGCAGGAACATCCAGAAGTCACCCTACTCCAGTATATAGATGACCTCCTCCTTGCCGCGGCAACCCAGAGCAAGTGTAGGGAGGCTACTGAAGCCCTGTTGAGAACCTTGGGAGAAATGGGGTACCGGGTGTCTGCTAAAAAGGCCCAACTTTGCACCCCAAAAGCTACTTACCTGGGGTATGAGCTCAGCGGAGGAAAAAGGACCCTGTCGGCTAGCCAAATATAGGCTATCATGCAAATCCCCGTCCCCAAGACAAAGAAGCAGGTGTGGGAATTCCTCAGAGCAGTAGGATATTGCCGCCTTTGGATATTAGGTTTTGCAGAAATAGCAAAACCCCTGTATACCTGCACCGGGGGAAAGACTGAGGAACTAAACTGGACTGAAATTGAAACTAAGGCTTTTCAAAATCTTAAGCAAGTCTTAGTCAGCGCACCAGCATTAGTGCTGCCAGACCTCAAAAGCCATTTCAGTTACATGTGGCAGAGGCTCGGGGAATCGCACAGGGGGTGTTAACCCAATCCCTGGGACCATGGAAAAGGCCTGTGGCATACTTATCCAAGCAGCTAGACCCTATGGCTGCAGGGTGGCTGGGGTGTTTGAGACCAGTGGCAGCTACAGCTATATTGGTAAAGGAAGCCTCGAAACTCACCCTCAGGCAGGACTTGCTCCACATTCTGTGGAGGCACTGTTGCGAAGCCCACTGGAGCACTGGCTCTCGAATGCTCAGATCACCCAGTATCAGGTACTCTTGCTTGATCCCCCGCGAGTCAGTTTTCTCAAAACAGCGACACTAAACCCTGCTACCCTGTTGCCTGATAACGACCCCGAGAAGCCCCTCCATGACTGCACTGAAACCCTGCCCTCACTCAAGAACCTTTGAGAGGACCTGACAGACCAGCCCCTGCCAGACCCTGATGAGACCCTATACACTGATGGAAGCAGTTTTGTGGTCGAAGAGACCAGGTACGCAGGAGCAGCGGTCGTGACAGCTGACAAGGTAATCTGGGCACAGGCACTGGGGCATGGGACATCAACTCAGAAGGCAGAGCTAATAGCCCTCACCCAAGCTCTACGGTGGGGGAAGGGAAAGGCAGTGAATATATACACGGACAGCCGATATGCATTTGCCACTGTTCATGTTCACGGGGCCTTATACCAAGAAAGGGGACTCCTAACATCAGGAGGGAAGGAAATCAAAAATGTACCAGAAATCCTTACCCTCCTTGTGGCCCTTTGGATGTTGAAGGCGGTGGCAGTCATACACTGCAAAGGACATCAGTCAACTGACATCCTGGAGGCACAGGGAAACGCCTTCACAGATAAAACAGCCAAGGAAGTCACCCAGAAACCAGTGGGGCCCCTCCATATTTTACCAGTCCTCCCTGCAAGGGTCTTTGAGGAGATTCCAGTCTACTCAGAGGAGGATACTGCCCTGGGGAAAAGACTCCAAAACGGCCAGGGAAGTTGCCCAAAAACCAGTGGGGCCCCTCCTTATTTTACCAGCCCTCCCTGCAAGGGTCTTTGAGGAGACTCCAGTCTACTCGGAGGAGGTTACTGCGCTGGGGAAAAGACTCTAGGCAAAAGAAACATCTGGAAGATGGAAAGAATTGCCGGACCAGAGGCTGCTCACTCCGGAGGCCCTGGGAAAGGAACTCATTTCCCAGATCCATCAGAGTACTCATCTGGGGGGAACCAAGCTGGTAGAACTGCTTAAACGAGATTATTATATTCCTAAGCTCTTTCAGGTCTCAAAGGACATCGCAAGGAGATGTCACATCTGTGCACAGGTAAACCCCAGGAAGCAGTCCCCATTAGTCGAGGGAACCAGACTCAGAGGGAAAAGTCCTGGAGAGCACTGGGAAGTAGACTTTACAGAATTACCCCCAGGTCTGGGAGGATAACGCTACTTGCTGGTTTTCGTGGATACGTTCTCAGGATGGCCAGAGGCTTTCCCTACCAAGTCTGAAACAGCACAAGTAGTAGTAAAGAAGTCAATCTCAGAACTTGTCCCCAGGTTTGGCCTACCTGTTGCAATGGGGTCCAACAATGGCCTGGCATTCATTGCCCACATCACTCAGTTATTGGCAAAGATACTAGGTATAAATTGGAAATTACACTGTATCTATAGACCTCAGAGCTCTAGACAGGTAGAAAGGATGAATCGGACCTTGAAGGAAACCCTGACAAAACTAAAACTGGAGACTGGCAAAAACTGGGTAAGCCTCCTCCCTTTTGCCCTACTCCGGGCCCATTGCACCCCGTATGTAAAGGGCCTCACCCCTTTTGAGATTCTGTTCGGACAACCCCTACCACTACTTCCCAAGCTAGGGGAAGAAATATTAGCATCCCTTTCTAATAATAACCTCCTGAAGTCCTTACAGGCTTTACAGTTGAGCTACAGACTTAACCACCAGCTGGTCCAAGAGGCTCACTTAGACCCACCCTCCAGGACCGGGCCTGGACCACCTCTCTTTCAATCGGGAGACCTGGTGTGGGTTCAGAGGCACGAGCCATCATTGCTGGAAGCCAGGTGGACTGGGCTCTTCACTGTCATCCTCAGCACCCCATTGGCTATAAAGGTTGCCAGAAAGAGACACTGGATTCACCAAACTCAAGTAAAAAAGGCGAAATCCGAGGACCCCACTGAATGATGGGCCATCCAATGTACAGGGAACCTGGTTTGCCTGTACCTCTGGTATCACCCCCTGTATTTCCCCCTTGACTCTCATCCCCCCCCTCCCCCGGGGAGCCTTCTCTATTCATCCTCACTCACATCTTGCCTCAGGTACACTATTACTCTGGGGAGGGAGGGAGAGAACATTTAGGTCTGCTCAGAGGCAAAGAAAAACGGGCCCCAGTATTGATTCCCCTTTTAGTAGGGTTAGGGATTGCCAGCTCCACTGCAGTGGGAACAGCAGCTCTAGTAACAGGAAATCAGAATTTTAAGGCCCTCAACAGCCAAGTAGATCAAGATCTGAGCACATTAAAACAAAATGTAGATAGACTTTAAGATTCCCTCAGTTCCTTAGCCGAGGTAGTATTACAAAATAGGAGAGGGCTCAACCTGTTATTTCTAAAACAGGGAGGACTATGTATGGCCCTAGGGGAGACCTGTTGTTTTTACGTTATCAGGGAGAGCCTCAGTCAGTTAAGAAAGAGGCTACAAGATAGAAAGGAAAGGAGAAAGTCTGAAGGAAACTGGTATGAAAACCTCTTCTCCTGGTCCCTCTGGCTCACCACTCTCCTAACCGTCTTAGCTGGGCCATTAGTACTCCTACTACTAACACTAACTTTTGGCCCTTGCATACTGAACTGCTTAATGAATTATATTCAAAGCAGGATATAAACAGCCAAATTAATGGTCCTAAGAACTCACTACCAAAGAATGAGAAATGAAGAAACAATGATTTGATTCTCCTGTAAAACCAGTGGGGAATGTTACAGAGTAGAAAAATTTTTTAGGCCTGCTTAATTACCTAGCCACCTCAGTAGCTTGACAGCCTGTGCAAAGTTTCTAGGAACTGAGCTCACACATCTGAGCAATGGCCTACAAAGAACAAACAGATCAACACACCTGAGCAACGGCCTACAAAGAACAGACAGATCAAAATTAAGAATAGTCCTGACCTTTAAGTTACCCAGAAATGAATAACAGGAAGATGATGAATAGCTTGGCTAAAACTACGCAATTAGCTTTTGTAACTCGGCTTTGCTTGCTATGGGAACCTGAACACAGATGTAGTTGTCCCCTTTAAATATTGGACTCTGCAGTTGGTCGTGGCCGCTTCTCTCTTGGGCTTCCCGAGTGGAGGAGCGGACACTGGCCAGTCAATAAAGGCTCTCTAAATTTTAATCAGTCTGGAGTTCTGGTCATTCTGTCACTTGCGCTCCACAACATCATGGGCTAAATGGAAAGTAAGACAAAACAGGCTTGGCACTTAATGTGTTAACAGAGCATGATAATATCCTATATAATAAAAGGGTAATATGCAAATTGACCTTAACGGCAAAACGATCAGGAATGACCAGTTGCTATGACATGCACTGACAGCAAGGGGGCAAATGCTCAACGCAGGAGCTGCCCCTGGTGGTCAGTGTGCTCCCACAGGGGGTGCTCTGCTTAGCCACAAGCCAGGCTGCCAGCTGCCAGCGCAGTTGCTGTGGCTGGAGCCTCTCTCGCCTCCACAGCAGCACTAAGGATGTCTGACTGCAGCTTAGACCCGCTCCCTGAGGGCTCCTGGGCTGCCAGAGGGATGTCTGACTGCCAGCTTAAACCCGATCTCCTGGGGAGTGGGCCTAAGCTGGCAGGTGGACATCCCCCGAGGGATCCTGGACTGTGAGAGGGTGTAGGCCAGGCTGTGGGAACCCCCCAGAGTGCACAAATTTTCGTGCACCAGGCCTCTAGTCTATATAATAAAAGCCTAAGTGACCACTATGGCGGAACAATCAGAACTGGTTGGTTGCTATGACGTGCACTGACCATCAGGGGTCAGATGCTCAATGCAGGAGCTGCCCCCTGGTGGTCAGTGCGCTCCCACAGGGGGAGCACTGTTCATCCAGAAGCCTTGAGCTGGGCTCACGGCTGGCAAGCACAGGGCACAGGCCAGGCTGAGGGACCCTCATGAGTGCATGAATTTTCATGAACTGGGCCTCTAGTCTTATATAATAAAAGCCCAGCAACTGAAATGGCGGAATGACCAGAACAACTAGAGACCAGAATGACTGTGGCCCCTCACCCAGGCTTGCCCCACCCCCACAGCGGGGACCCCCACTCCAATCAGGGGTGGGGCTGGCCTGCAAACTGCCCATGGCCCCTTGCCCTGGCTGGCCCCGCTGCCCAGCAGGGACCCCCACCCTGATTCGGGTTCCCCATCAGGGCAGGCCGGCTGGCCCCTACCCATACACTGGGTCTCTATAAAAATATAAAACCCTACCCCACCACCACTCCAACCCAACCCGCCAAAGGCTCCTGAAACCACAAAATTAGATCACTGATTCAGGCTAGCAGTTCAAAGTATAAAGCCTCATTCACACAGGAATTCACACCTTTCTCCTTTCCCTTGGACTCTGCGTCTCAGAGGAGGCATGCACGCAAATGAAAGCTCAGAAAAGTCGCTCTTTTGGGGTCCTGTGGTGCATCCAGGCAGACAACTGATCACCAAAAGCCAAGCACCAGACTTTGTCCCTTCCTCATTCCATGGCCTCAGCTCCAGACAGGCACTCACCTTGGCAGGATACAAGCAGAGCTCCATCTCAAATCTTCACAGAGACGGGAATGCTCAGGAGGCCAAAATAACAGAAACCTAATGACCCAAATGCTGGGGACCATGCCACTCAGCACATGGCCAGGGGAGCTTGGTCTAAGTTCTGGTCCAATTTCTAACCCGGTTGCAACCTGCCATCCTGGGGCCACAGCACATGCTGGAGTGTGTAATCGTGGGGGCGAGGTGCTCTGGAGGCAGAGGGCTCACTCCAATCCCTGGGTCCCAGGGGCTCTCCGCCTGCGTGCCCTTCCCCCAGGCGCTCAGCCCCAACTGTGCCAGCAAAGCCCCTTTGCTGGGGTGGGATTGCAAGGGGCAGGCCAGGGGAGGGTTGGCAGGCCCATGGCCTCCACTGCGGCTGTTCACATACATGTAATTAGCTCTAATTATCCCAGGCTTTCAGTTCACTGACTCTGGGCCAGGGATCTGCTCCTAGGGTGAACGCACCCACGGAGTGGCTGCTCCGCCAAATGAGCCCTCTCACTGGGCTGGGAAGCTCTATCCCCATCCACAGCACTCTGTGTCTTGTGTCTGTCTCTCCCTGTGCATCTGTCTCCCTGTTCCTTGCTCTCTGATCCTGTTTACTCATTCTCCATGTCTCGATGGGTCTTTTGTCTCAGTCTCTCATCGCATCTCTGCCCATGGAGAACATCCCTGCTGCCCCCCACAAAGGAACACACACCAGCAGAATCCACCTTTTCAATAAAAAATGACAAGTGGGGACGTATGAATTGGAGAAGAAGATGGCTGCTGATGGGAAGGCAGACTGCAAGATAGTGAGTGAGTAAGAGAATGAAAGGAGAGGGTGTGGATGTACAGAGAGTGTAAATTTGTGGGTGAGTGATAGCTATACTCCAGGGGACTGTTGGAGACTGCCAGACTGGGCTCCCCTAACCGAGCAGCCTCCACTGCTGCTGAAACCTCTCCTGGAGTGGCCGGCTCTGCCGCAGAGACCAAGCCATCTTGAAGGGGAGGGGGGCTGTTTTCAGAAGCGTATACATCCAGGGACCCTGCAATCACTGCACCCAGGGACCAGCTACGAACCCAGGAACACCGGATCTCAAGGAGTGCAAATACGTGGACTCAGACAAGCCCTGCTCCACCTCATGGAAAGGTCAGATTTCGCCTAGGGAAAGGTAAGGTCTGCAATCCTGGTTGGAGAGAGAAACGCGTGCAGGGGAGTTTGCACCCCACAAAGTCCGTGGCCGTTGGGGCCAGCATGATCCACAAGTGTGGAAGGGGATCCGCAGGGCAGGATCTGCAGGGCAGCTGGCAGAAGGGAACTCTAAAAATCAGCCCATAGCTGGACTGGGCGCAAAAAAGGCAACCTCGGATTATACCAGTGTGCTGGCTGCTTAGTGCCAGGGGAAATTTGGAGAATTGCGCACAGTGCTGGACAGTAAAAGTTGCAAGCTCATGCACTTGCTCTGGCTCTTTTTTTCTCTTTAAATCCTTGCTTTTGATTACTAAACCCAATACATAGGATCACCCAATTGGGGACACTCTTGAAGACTGCAGGGGAAAGTTGTTTTTGTGGAACCTGGGGATCAGAGCAGGGAGTAACGATCAGGGAACCAGTTCTGGGGCAGTTGATTCTCCCAAACCAGTATTAAGTGGGACAGGGAAAACAAAACGTAAATATTGGCTAGAGAGGACTTATAGCCCCATAGGTCAATCCAGAAACACTGCCACCCAGGGGCTGAATTACAAATTGACTCTTCTGTAAACACAAATAAAGCCATCTGGGAAACAAAGAAATACCGCCTGCTTTAAAATCAGGACTGTGGTTTACAACATGGAGGAGGAGTGTATCACAGGGAACTTCAATACTCTCCTGACTACCTGACAGGAAGAAGGCATGCCAAACAGAAGAGTAGAGGAAGTGCATGACCTTCACAACTGCCCATTTTTATTTTTTCACCTTTTACTTAAGAAACTAATTTTTTTTCCTTTTTTCCTCACTTGATTTTACCTTTTTAATTATTATATTTTTTTAAAATTAGGATTATTACTACCACTATTGTAATCTTTTTTTAAAAAGTGTCATTTTATTTTCTCTTTATTTTATTTTGGGATAATGTCATACATTCTATTTTCATTTTTCTTTTAGCATCATTCTACTGTATCTCAACTTTATCTTTATGCCAACACTCTATCCCTCACTTTTCCCCTTTTGTTGTCCTGTTCTCTTACCCTATGCTTGCATTAGATTTCTCCTATTCCTTCTTTTTACCACCTGTTAAAAATTCATCCTACTTATAAATCTAATTTCCAATCCCCTGCTCCAAGTCCATACACACCTCTCTCTTTGTCTCCTTCACTATCAAAATTTTTTCTATCTTCCCTTTTTTTGATTTGTTTTGTTTTCTGTTGTTATTATTTTTTTGTTT